CAATAATTTTGAATCAATACTGATAAGCTAAAATAGACTTTTAAATCTATTCTAATATCCCAAAAAAGCCAATGCCAACCAGGTTTTTGTTAACTTCTTTTGAATTAAGAGCAAAGAACCTAAGTCTTCCAATTAAGATGTAAATATTCTTTTTTAAACATTTTATTTAAATCCGTCATTAATTTGAAATTGGATATAATTATTAGGCAGATGAAAGAGGATTAGTTAAAACTACATTTTGATGACTTGGATCTTCTTCTGGATCTTTTGGCCTTTTTCCCCCAGGAGACACGTATATCACGTCACATCCTCTTATAACAAAAAAATATATATTTTATCTTCATAAATCTTTGAAACCCTTGTCTAATACTTATCTTTTTAAGGGGATAGTAAGAGAAAGATGGAGTATTTATTCTTCTGGAATATAAGATTTTTCTTTTCCTTTATTTCATCTAGTAATAAATGCACTCTGGTCAGGGGTAATCATCTCTTTCCTTTGTTAAGTATATCATGTTTGAAAGAATTTTATGCAACCATTTCAGCCGTATACTCATTATTACATTTACTAAGGCCAGTGAATTGGCTTGGGCAAGAGATTACCCCAGAATCGTTTTTGAAAAATGGCTGATGTTTTCTAACTGGAAGTTCCTTTTAGGTAGTGAGCCTACACCTGAACTGAAAAGTATGCCACTGGACAATAGAAGTATGTAACTCCTGAGGAGGATCAGCTGTTAACAAGAGAGATTCTCTTAGAGAATCCAGCAAGTGTGCTCCCTTCTGCCAGAGGAAATGTGGAGTGTTCTATGGAAAATCTGTGGTCCAACATATTTCTTTCCATAGGACAAGGTTTTTTTTTTTTTTTTTTTTTTTACAAGGTTTTATTTCACACTGGACAAGGTTTTATTTATTCAATGTATTTTTGTTCTGTGGAAAGAACTAACCCTTAGTGACATGGCAATCACAGCAAACATAGCAAATAGGCTCTAACCTCTAAGTTTTAAGCTTAAGAGTTACTTGAACGTAAGGACACTACAGTCAAACTCATCTTTGCCATAAAATTTTATGCATGTAGGAGACACCTTATAGATATTTGTTAAAATGAACTAAAGTTTACACTACCTTTATTGAACATTATTATAAAAAATTGAAAACCTGTTGAAAATGTTGATCATAAAAACCAAAAGCTGGATGACTTCAGTGCCCAGTGTTCTAATGGAAGAATACCATCAATTTGACACAGTGTGCTCCTCTACCTTTTGGAGTCTTCATATAAAAAGCACTAAAATATCTTTGGATCGAAAGTTAATATGAGTCTTTGATACCTGATGGAATTTGAACTTGGAAAAGTTAAGTTGATGATGCTTAAAGAAGTGATTACATCTTCTTCGAATCTCTTTGTTATATAAAGACATGTACAACAACTGTGAGTTGATAACAGTTTTTGATTCATAAAATATTTATTTCTTTTAAATTAATAATACATTTCCCTAGCTAAAGCAGTAGGAAAGGATCATCTTCATCCATTTTGAAATTACTTTCCAAAGCACTTAATTTCCAGTTAATGAAAAGCCAGAATTCATACCCTCTGTATGTGTAAATGCTCCCATTTATGTGGTAGGACCCCAAATACCTAGTATTGGTGAACATTTTGAGATAAGAGATTTAACTGACTGCTTTACAGAGTAGAAATTTGGTAGG